CCCCTTTCCAGCCTGTCCCGCTTCCTGCATCAGTGCGCAGCGCTGCATGCTCCACCCTCCGCGACCAGCGTGTTTTGGCGTCACGCCAGGTCTGACAGCCGCGCCAAGAGAAGGACGCCGTACGGCTGGCGTCAGGGACATTCGTCTCTTTTGGAACCAGGCAGCGTCGTCTTCAAGGGGAGAAATTGCATCCACGCCCGAATTGTCCTCCAAAAAACGATTGATCTCTGCAATCCGTGAAACGCTGCCTGTCATGTTCTCCCAATAGCTGCGACCTGCGAGTTTCCGCCGCTTCGAGGTAGGTGTCAAATGCTCCACACCTGCAGGACTCTGGCTCATCCTCTTCTTGAATCGTCGACTGCTAGGAGTCACCAGTTCCGCTTGTCCAGCACCGCCACCCTGGTCCCCAGTCGCCGGAGCCTCTTGAGAGAAACTGGTGGCTGGCGCCGATGCCTCCAATGCAACGTTAACTGCGTCCACGTGGGAGGATGCAGGAGCGTCAAGAGCTTCAACGGCTGGAGTAGACGACGGAAGGATGGGAGCAGCAGGAGCAGCGATAGAGCTCGAAGGAACCGTACGATTTGCAGGGACTACGTTAGGCTTATCAGCTGGAGCCGGAGTCAGTCGAGACCTTTGATTCCTGTTGGAGCGAGGCAACTTGACTTTCTGATAACCAGCGTCCGGGTCAATATCTTCATCACCGTCTGTCTCTTTGGAACAGGACTTAGAGACCTTTGGAGCAGAAGCAGCCATAGAGACAAACTGTAGACTGTTATTCTCAGGAACCTCGTCAGGCAACGTCTCGCAAGAAGGTCGACTCACGTTCTTGCGAGGCAACTTGACCTTCTGATAAGAGTGGTCAAATCCTTCATCACCATCTGCATCAATCGGAAAGGTCTTAGAGGCTTTAGCTGTTAAAGTAGCCGATGCAGGAACTAAGGAATCCATAGGAATTTTAGGCTCAACAGAAACGACTTGGTATTCAGGAACTGCGTATGGATCGCTGGGAGGAACTAATATTATCCCAGACGGTGGATTGCTAATGCGAGGCAACTTAAGCTTCCAATGCGCCGAGTCTACTATATTCTGTCATGAGATAGATGCTGCATTCACTTTCTCGGACATGACTAGCGGATTTCTAGCGAAAATATTGAACACTCTAATGTCAAGGAGAAAGCAACCTAAAAGCTCTGAGAGGAAAGCTGCAACAAAAACTTGACGGCTCCCCACCGAGGCGACGAAGCAATCTTAGTAACTGCTAGTGGGAGCACTAAACTATCTGCAGCTTCAGGAACCGAGATGCAGTAAGAACACGGTGTTGGCAAGGATGTCAGTGTGGCTAACTCACTGAGACGGAATGGAGAGCTCAAGAAGCCAGGTCTGAACAATGGAAGCTATACTCCCAAATTATCAACTGAAGAAGCGACTATGCTGGGGCTGTGGAGGAATGAAATGGATCTGCGTGGTGTTCAGTGAGGCAAGACAGAGAGCAGCAGCAGCACGCTGAAGCTGGGGTCGAGAACTGGAGTTCACCGAGAGAAGTGGCTTTAGCGAGGGATACATGCGTTACAGTCCGTCTGACAGGTGACAGATTTTGTTCAGGCCGGATTCTTGGCACAAAGCTGGGGTCAGTCCGTCAGGTGTGGGTTACTCAGCGAGCTGACGAAAACGTCTTCGCGACGGCACAATAGCTCATCGTTTGTAAAACTTGAATTTCGCTCAAACTATTCAGCCCCTTTTCTTGCAGTCCCCCAAGCCCTCTCACGCTCCTGCCCCCAGTTCCCCACCCTCCCCTCTTCTCCCCTAACCAGCCCTCCTCTCTTCTATTCTTCCTCTACCCCTCTCCCCTTCCCCATAAGCCAGAAATCGTCTTGCTGACGATTTTCCAGGTCATCGCCATCCCCCTAGACATCAGCAATTTTTTTCTTGATCCCGATTATTCTAATCAGGGGAGCAGGATCCGCGTACTGGGCCTTGCATTACGCATTCTTGAGTAATGTGGCCATTTGAGCCATCACGAGGCTGGCGCGTTCGATGCTCTAGCAGTTGAATGTTCGAATCATTAGGATGGGTCAGTCAAAGAAGGGAGGATCTGCAGGCATATTACAGCAAAGAACGCTTCCATCGACTTGCGGGGTTGGAGCGCCGTCTAGCGTTCAAGGACGCAATAACATTCCGAATTCGAACCTTTGTGGAGATGAATTCCGTGTACTAAGGATTGCCAAGGATGGATCTCCCATCATAATTCCGCACTTGCGACGATCAACTCCAGATTGTAGAGCGAGGAGAAGGTCGAAAGGTGTCCCTCTGATTACAAATGGCCAAGCAAGCTACAGCAACGCTGATTGCCGTAACGGACAACGAGGCATAGCGCAATTGGTGTCAAGCGTCAACCATCACCCAGCAACGTCCACCCTTACATTCACCCCTCCTCCGCCTGTTCCTGAGCCCGTTAATTCGCGTAAAATGGCATCTGCAGCACCTCCTGAAGCTCCAGTGAGGGGTCCGAAGTGGTCTGGGGGAGTTCGAGGCAGTGCAAGTCGAGTGGAATTGCAATGGTGGGAGAATTTCATGGCAGGAGCGTCGGCATCGCTGATTTCGAAGACAATTCTGCAGCCGTTCGACACCACGCGCACCATCCTGCAAGTGAGTCAGGGAAGCAATGGGTTTTGGAATGTAGGGGTATGTATGAATGGGTGTAACCCAATATCATGATGCAGTATCCTTTCCTTGCTGCGTAATTCCACAGGCATTGTCTCTCTATAAAACTCACCACTAATCATGAACATGCCAAATTCGCATTCTGAACAGGCCTCCAAGAAGATTCGTGGAAACTACAACAATTTCTGGGCGTGTGCGACAGGAATCGTACGCACAAAGGGTTTTCCTGCCCTCTACACCGGATTTATGGTGTCAATTGCAGTTTCCGCCCCTTCCTCCGCCATCTTCCTCACAGCCTATGAGCAGGCCAAGCGGGCAGCTGAAGATACCATAAACGCTCTCACAGGTTTTTGTCCCTTGAATCCAAGAGAGGGAGGCAGCAGAAATAGAGTGCTCAGAGAATCACTGCCTGGGTTGAGTGTTGGTTCTGGAGAATGGCATGTTGATGGTTGGTGGAATGAGGAGCGACGAGCACGGGTGCGATCGGTGCTCCTGCCTGCAGCCCCAGCCCTAGCAGCAGTGGCCGGGAATGTGATGTCCAGCCTGGTGCGGGTGCCACCAGAGGTGGTGAAGCAGCGAGTGCAGGCAGGGCAGTTTGCCGGGCTGCTTGCTGCCGTGACCAGCATGTGGAGGGCGGAAGGTCTGCCTGGGTTCTACACTGGATACTCCACCATGGTAGGTGGGTGCGTCTTGAGTTCAATATGGTCTGGTTTTCTGAATGGGTTAGAGGGTGTCTTTTTAAGGAAGTGGAAACGTTCGCATGGGTAGGGCATGTGTGCAGGCTCCCCTATCTAGCACCTTCAAGTACTAAGATCCCTTGTGTTGTGTGCCACACATTTCCATGCTTGCAGGTGGCTCGGGACATTCCCTATGCAGCCATACAGTTCACGACCTTTGAGACGCTCAAGCGCAGGCGAGAGAGAATCCTTGCAGCACGGGCTCTGGCTTCCAGTGAGAGCAAAGGTGGCTCCACAGGTTTGCCAGGTTTATCCGGCTCAAAAGGACAAGGGAGAAAGTCTGTGGCAGCTCACCAGTTGTCGCAAGGCGAATTGCTTCTCAGCAACATGTGGATTGGAGCTGTAAGTGCAACATCGGAACCACGTTAGTTATTACAACATTCTATCTATCTTCTGCACACTCATGTTGTGGGAAAGAACAAATTTTGAATGCCTTTTCCGTGTGTTTCTTTACCCATCAGATGGCAGGGGCCATGGCCACAATATTCACTTCCCCCTTGGACGTTCTTAAGACACGGGTCATGACTCAGGAGGTTTTACCGGGGCAAGCATACCTAGGCACCAGACAAATGCTTGCAAAAGTATGGGCTGAAGAGGTAATTGTGTAAGAGTTTGTATAGGCAGGATTTGCCCTGCGGTTTTCCTTGTGTTGCCTTGCTCCTCTTTCCTGTAGCTCATGGTTCCGTTCACCGTGTTGTTGGCAGGGAATTGTGGCGTTTGGCAGAGGAATGACACCCAGGTTGCTCTACAAGGTAAGCATGTGCAAAAGGTACACAGTCACCTATTTTTCTGGCTTGCACTGGTACTCACACGCATCCCCTCCTGTGCAGGTTCCATCGTCCGCTGTTTTCCTGGTTAGCTATGAAGCAATGCGGCGGATTCTGGTTTCTTCACGACGACGCGACACACTACATTGCGTTAATAATTAGGTCGGGTACGACCTGGTAGGCATATTGGAGTCCTCAGTCGCAATATGTCTTTAGTGTGCTGGTTCATGGCTCTGTTCATGGCTTGAATAAATGCAAGCTCAACATGTGCTTTTTTTTCTGGATCGGTACTTACATGATCCGCATACATGTTAAACTAGTGGGAGCTGGTCCCGTGAAAATGGTGCAACTTCTGTAACTTCAATGTGCGATTAGCCTTTGATACTTCAGACCAGCTATATGCTCAATACTGCTATCGCCATAATCGTTCCACCTCCATATGGCAGTGGAGGGCCAGGAAACCATCCCCGTGCCTCTTGGCTCCAAACATTGAAATCATGAAGCTCAGTCACATCAAATGAACGAATGTTGTAACGGACTCCACCAACCGCGACCAGATTATCATCCAAAAACGCAAACCCTTTGGAGCGGAGGCCCGGATGATCCATAGTATTTTCGTCAATGCTCTCAAGTAGAGCACGCGAAACGGAGTCACTGTCGGATCCTGTCCATCCAACAACCTGAGCTGCAAAGCAGACTCCCATGGACTGTTGGTATATGTGCGCCTCAGTTCTGACCCACTTTCCCTTCTCTGGGTCGACTTCAAAAATGATTGATGGGGATGTAGAGTCGTTGTAGATTGCTACTTGCTGCTTGCCATTCATGGTGAAAGGAGTCAAATGAGCACTGCAAGAATGAGGAGAAGAGGAACAAAAGAAAGAGGTAAACACTGAGCAAACATATACTGCCATTTATCACGATACCAAGTCCAATCACATTACCTCGCAATATTGTACACTTGTTGACCTTCGCCATCACACACGTCAACTGGGCCTTGTGCAAATGTTCTCCAGTTTCCGAGCACAGCGCCCTTCTGGTTACATAGGCTCGTTTGATCTCTCAAGTTGGTTGTGCAGCTTGACTCTTTAGTAGAGGCCAATACTCCGCAGTTTGTGTCAACAGGCGCTTCAAGAAAGGCTGCTCCTTGCACATCTTCACCAGAAACCTCAGAAGACAGAACATGAAAACTGCCTCGAGTTAACGCCCCAATGAAAGCCCGGTTGCCATTACTCCAGGAGCACAGGCATGGGTAGGCCTGTGGTACCGGTGGTCCATCAAACCATGCCAGAGTTCTTGCATTGAAGAGCCTCACCTGATAACAGTGGCACACGTTACGAGGGATTTGAACGGGACTACAATCACCATAACAGAAGACTAAGAAACATGCAATGACTAGTAACCTTGCCTGTGATGTGAAGTCAGGGTGCTCAGGCTCTCCAGTGTTTGGGTTAATGCGATCAGATGCTCGCCCACCAACAACTACCAGATGCTCACCCACTCCTACCATACTGCCTGGTGCAAGGTTAGCTTTCCAGGGGAACTTGAACCACCGATCAAGCACTGCATCAGAGAATGCAATTTAAATCAGCGTCAGACGACGTAGGTCTTGAAAGAGGGATTGGAAATTAATTATCACCTGGGGAGTAGGCTTGAAGAGTGGGACCCGCACCATGCGCTAGCACATATAGCCAACTTTCTGTTCTTTTCATTAGTCTTCTGAGACTGCATGCACATTCAGACTTAAGATTAGGCATTGAATGAAAGACACATTCAGACTTAAGATTAGGCACGGGACCAAGGCGTGTACACTCAGTGTGCTACACCCACTAAGACAGCCACCAACAGGAATCGTCAAGGAAAATGCAACAAGTCACAATGCAAGTTCGCTTACGTGCATATATCTTCTGAGCTGAGTGTGCCTCTCCAGGATTTGGACACACATTTCAGGACACCCCAGTAGCCCCTGGGAACCATTGCGAGACACAACATGGCGATGTCATCAGGCAATCCCGGAAGAAGTCGACCTTCAGTATCTGCCACAAATGACGCGAGACATGCGGATGGAAGCATCTGCAAGATATAAGACGCATTAACCCTACCGAACCGCTCCAGCATAACGATGGAACTTGTACACATCATTGTATTTTTATTATTATATTCTCCGGATAATGACACGAGAGGGTGATCAATTGACAATAAAAAAAGAGTTCAAGTGTCGACTCAATTTTGGAGCTACGCGTTTCTAAGTTACTCCTCGACTTGTCTTGGATCAGAAAGATGGCTGTTATTACTAAGAACTGCAAACCCAGGAGTAGCGTCTTGATTGTGCACCTGTGAGGGCGAGTCGCCGTGAGAAATGAGAAAGTATGAACTGACTGGAAAAGCTTAATAACATACGATGGTTCGTGCTGGACGCGCAATGAAGTCTTGCCAATGAGCAGGCAGCGAAAGCGGTGACGCGGATGCTTCTTCGAACAAGGCCCGTACACGGTCTACACTTGCTCGTGATGGGGCAGAAACAGCAGCACCTGACAAGTTTCACAATTATCCACACAAAGATTTCGCACTAGAATCAGGTGAACAACTCACCTGAAGCAGATCTGAAAGAGATGCTAAGCGAAATGTCTGGACTAGCCTCCATTGTTGCCGCCATGCTCGAAAGAATGAAGCGGAATCTAGGAAATGCGATAGTGTTGCTCTGAATGCAAAGCAGACCAGCAGGGGGGCAAAGAATATTTGTTTCGTTGAGTGATCGGTACCAGTAAAACTACAAAACATACCGTTATTCACATGGTGAAGTTCAGAATAGCTAGCTGGTGAAGTTTGACTTGTACCTAGACTTCGAAATTTCTCCATTGCTATTATGCAAGTGAAGCGTACACGTTTTTCTAACACACGTTTTTCTCACTTGGACCAAGTCCAAGTCGTCACTTGGACCAAGACCTCACTTCCCGCCTGCCGCGCCCTCGCCGTCGCCACGTCCAACAAACGGGCAGCTGGGGTTGGGTGAGGCCGATGAGGAGTTTTTTTGTAAGAAGCGGATATGCTCCACCTCGAGGCGGCGCGGCAGTACAACGGTGAATGGAAAGAACGGTTTTCATGGCTCATGCCGTGTCGTACTAAAATGCAGTGTTTGTACAGAGGTCGACGTGCCCCACGCACACGGTCGCATTCATTTGCGTGCTGGCTCTGGCGATGGTACACATGCCGCTGCTCGTGGCTCTCATGTCACACATCCGCCCTCTCGCCTCTCCAATCACGCGATTGCACCCTTGCACTATCACCCACTGCCACACCTGCTACAGCTGCACGCTCCGTAGGTGCTGCGGCTGGCGCTGCTGCTGGCCCTGCTGCTGGCGCTGCTGCTGCGGCAGGCTGCATTGCTCCTCCCACGCATCCCCCCACGGCCCTCCCATGCACGCGGAGCGACGGCAGGCCGGCAGGTGCAGCACCCGCCATGCTCCGCCTCTCCTCCTCCTTCAGTCCAAACCATGCAGGTGCATTCTGGGCATCACCTGCATGTGCATGCGAAGCTACACCTGCTGCTTCTGCAGCTCCTGTCACAGCTGCAGCACCTGTGGCACTGTTCCCCTGCGCGCTGCTCTCCCTGCCTGAAGAAACACCTGCTTCTCTGTTGGTAGTTGACAGCGCCTCTGCGTCTGGCGGCTCTGAATCGAACGACTCGGTGGCAGTTGCTTGAGTAAACTGCTTCTGCTGTTGCTGCTGTTGATGCTTCTGCTGCAGCTGCTGCTTCTGCTCGGACTTGATGAGAGGCGCAGTGGTGAAACCACAAGGGCCTTCCAGTGCTGCTCCTGCCATCCCTTCTCCTCCTTCTGTGCCTAAGTCAACATAGTCCAGACTCAACAATGGTCCACTCATGTTGCCAGCACCGGCATCAGCAGCTACAGCAGCGGCAGCAGCGGCAGCAGAAACAGCAGCAGGGGTGGTGGAGGGAAGGGTTATGTATGCTGCATGTGTCAATTCAGCCAGAGAAGGGGCGAGAGATGACGGCTGAGCACAAGGGTTGGATGCGTCCCTCAGACCCACCCGCCGACACACCTGGGGAGACGGGTACGCGCAGCGAGAGGAAACAGGGAGAGGAGGGGGGCAAGGGGGACATGAGGGGAACGCTGAGCGTCCCTGCCATCCACGAGGTCTGGCGAGGTGAAGAGCGATACGTCCCTCAGACCCACCCGCCGACACACCTGGGGAGACGGGGTGGTGTGGGAGAGAGGAGAGGGGAAAGGGAGGGACATGGAGGAAAGGAGTCGCCTGGATATGATTTGGCTTTGGCATCTCACCTCACGCATGAGTGGGGTACGCGACCTTACTGTGAGCGCGCCTCATAACTCTACCCAGCCCAGCCACACCAGGAGTGACGGTTACGCCCTGGCATCTTCTGAACGCCCTGGCATCTTCTGAACGCCCTGGCATCTTCTGAACGCCCTGGCATCTTCTGAACGCCCTGGCATGTTCTGTACGCCCTGGCATCTTCTGAACGCCCTGGCATCTTCTGTACGCCCTGGCATCTTCTGTACGCCCTGGCATCTTCTGTACGCCCACACCAGCGGCTCTCTCACCTTGAAAAAGCGTTCCACGTTGGTGCATGCATGGCAGTACGTGCGCTTAAAGCCCGACCCGCCCGCTGCTGTCATCGCTGGAACAGCTGCCGTTTGCACTGCTGCTGCTGACGTCACCACCAGCCGCTGCACCACCAGCACTAACCCCAGCACTACCATCAATTACACCGTTAGCAGTAGCACTAATCCCAGCACCATCAGCAGCAGCAGCGGCAGCGGAACCACCACCGCTATCAGCAGTGGCAGCGGCGGGACCAGGCGCGGGGGGGGGGGGTTGCAGGCGGGGAGGATTCAAAGTCCGCCGTCAGGGGGACGCTGGCGGAGGGGGGCACGTCGTGCGCAAGCAGCTGCTGCACCAAACAGGCGAGCTCGAGGCTGTATAAGGGAGCGGAGAGGAAAGGGGGAAAGAGGGGAGACGAGACGGGGAGAAGGGAATGGGATGTCTCAGAATTCGAAGGGGGGCACGTCAGGCGCAAGCAGCTGCTGCACCAAACACGCGAGCTCGAGGCTGTATGGGGGGGAGGGAGCGGAAAGTTATGAGACGTTTCAAACTCGGAGGGAGGAGCGTTTGGCGCGATCAGTAGGCGGGAGCGAAACGGTGGGAGAGGAGTGGGGGGAGAGAGGGGGAGAAGGGAGAGGGGAAAGGCGGAATGAGTACGGAAGAGAGGAGACGGAATGAAGACGGAACGAGTAAGGGGAGAGAGGAGACGGAACGTCGACGGAATGAGTAAAGGGAGAAGAGACGGAATGAAGACGGAATCGACGATAAGAGGTATCAAGGAGCAGAGGCATCGGGAGCCAGAGGCATCAATAACTAGAGCATCGAGAACACACAGTATTTCGCCGATCGCTCAACGGCTTATCGGCGGGAAGAGTTCGCGATAAAGTCTGCGACAGCCAGCGGCGAGCTTGCGACTGAATGGAGCGACAGCGGGCATGTGAGTGAAGAGACGAAAAAGAGAAAAATATAACGATAAAATGATGTGGAGTGGGGGAGCGATCGAACGACTACGACAATCATAAGGTAACTCTAGGGTTCATGAGATGCGGGAGCGAGCTTCTACGCGAAATACACGATATAATACACCACGGAGATCTTGACTTCAAATGAAGCTTTGAGGAACATCGATCTCCTGCGGATGAACCCACACCGCATGCACCTGCACTGGCGCGCTACCTCTAGGTATTGTACGTCGATGGACGCAGCACCGCTTGTTGCACTGACGACTGTCGCAAACGATGTCGCGTGCGGAATGTGCGACTGCGCTGGCTTCGCCGGCGACGCGGAGAGGTCAGATGCTACCATTGCGAAGGCAAACGACAGAATCGTTCAGCTGACGAAATCGCAGGCACCCCTGCGACGATAGCTAATAACTTTGCCGGCCAGATTTGCGATAACGAGACTATGATGTCCCTTCCACAGAGACGGCGGATCGGCAACACCCTTCGCATCGACGCGCTACGACGTGCACCTGCACGTGATCGCCACTATACGACCCCACCAGCTAAGTTAGCTGCTCGCGAGTGACTCTACTGGTTGGTCGATCATGTGCTGTGCTCTACATAACTTACTCGACGTGCGGGAATGTCGGGGTGGAAGCAAGCGGAAGTGATGTGCGCGGGGAAGCGGGAAACTATAGCCAGGCTCTGTCCAAGCGTAAGCACTTCGCGAAACAAGATTGCCGCAAATGATATGTAACCCAACGTGATCCGCGTGATTGGCCCTGGAATTCTGTAGGTTGAGGAAGTACATTGTCCCTCCTTAGGGCCCCGCTGTGGGGTCCAAGATTGCTCCAAATGATGGTAACCCAACTTGTTCTGAGTGATAGGCCCTGGAATAGGGTAGGATATTGTAAGGAATTTTCTCGGCATTCCTTACGGAGCCCGACTACATCGCGTACAGCAACAGCCGTTGTTCGCCCGTTACTGCTAACGGGGCTTCGCCGACTTCGCGCGCGCTATTTCACCAAACCTCGCACTGCTGGCCTGGCCGTGTCGGCCTACGCTTCGGGACTAGCCCGAGCCTCGCTCCAGCGTAGCACTAGCTAGCTCGCACGCACCGCGTTACCGTTTGCATGTTTCGCGTATAAATGTTCGCTCATGCCTTCGCTCACATTTTGTACTCGTTTGACACCTTAGTGCAATTCTCGCTACTTCGATTCATTGCACCCGTAACACTTGGTATTCAGAGCCTCTTTCCTTTTTCGGACCGCGCATCTCCGCACTCCAGGAAATCAACTTTTGATTCTTCACTCGAAGGGACTCACGTACCTTAGCACCTAGGAGCCGCTGTCCTCGCGTTCTCTCGTAAACGCGTGCAACCACGACTGCGCCTAGACTAAGACGAGCCGACGCCCTTCGAAATGGCCGAACATATCAACGTCACGACCCTTACGCAGGAGCATTTGAACGATCTGCTGCGACAAATCCGCGAGAGCGCCGAGGAAATCGCGACGCTGACGGCAGAACGCTCGTCCCTGCAAAACGACCTCACAAGGGCACAATCCCAAGCACCTGGCACTCCGATTCAGCCCGCACCATAGACATCACAGCACGGAAGTGTGGGGCAACCAGCGAGCGCCGCAAGTGATGGCGTCGTCCGCCATGACGGAGACGACGACCACGGCACGACACACCCCGACGCGACGAATGCGGCCAGGACTCAGCCTCGAGTCACGATTTCGATGCCGGCCGGCGAATCAACTCTTCCGTCGCCGATGCCGCTAAAGCCGCAGCGTCCGCCATGCTTTGACCCAAGTCAGCGGGGTGGTCCTACCGTTCAGGCGTGGCTCTTCACGTTGAATGTCTTCTTCGACGCGAACTACGTCTCGGAGGATACGGCGAAGATTCGCTACGCCGTGTCGTTGCTGCGAGGACCCGCCATGGACTGGTGGCGCGTCATCGTCACGAAGCCGGTGGACTACGCGACTCTACCGACACGGGAAGGACAAACCGGACCCTGGGCGCCGTCGTATTTCGTGGAGGTGCCCCAGTATCGCACGTGGGACGCGTGGTGCGCAGGTCTGCGCGCTCGTTTCGAGCCAATCGCGGCTTCGATCGCGGCGCGACAGAAGCTCCGCACTTGGCGCCAACTCGGTTCCGTCCAAGATTATACGAGCGGATTTCTGGCGCTATGCGAGCAGGTGGGATATATGCACGAGAGCGAGCGCATCGACCGCTACATCGGCGGCCTGAAGCAGGACATCGCTCAGGAAATCCAGCTTCGCGGCGTCACCGACTTTCAAGAAATTCTCGCTATGGCGGAGAAACTTGATTTCTTCCGCCGACCGAGACCGGGGTCCTACGGAAGCAGCCATTGGGGACATCGGCCTCGTGGGACGAACGAGGGCGCCACGATACGTGCCGTCGCCGCAAACGCCGCTGCCGCACCGTTCAAAGGGCGCTGCTTTGCGTGCAATCGGCCGGGACATCGCAAGAGCGAATGCCCGGAAAACGCTAAGGGAAAGGGGGAAGCTGAGCAGCAGAAACAGACCAAGCAGCAGGGAAACGCTGGGAGTCAGTAGCAGACGGGCCCTCTACTGACAGGTCACGCCGCTCGCCCGACCCAACCGACCCTCACCGAATGATTGTGCCGGTTCACGCAATCGACCACACCCGGCCGAATAAGGAGGGTACTACGGTAGACAGCCCTATACTGCTTAGTGGGAAAATTGGGACGGACTTAGTTAAAATCTTCGTAGACGGGGGAGCCAGCCACAGCCTCATCAACACTGCTACAGAACGAAAACTGCGACTGCCACTGGACAGATGTTTACCTGAGATCGACGCACGACTGGTAGACGGCACGCCGCTGGCAATACGGGAACGCGTAGACCGGGTTCGGATTCGATGTGGGGGTAACTTCACGTTTAGCCAAGAAATGCTCGCAACGACCCTCGACAAAACCGACATTTTACTCGGACGTGATTGGCTGCGACGACACAATCCGCGAATCGACTGGACGACGGGTGACTGCACCGTGCGAGTGAACGGTAACAACATCGCCCTACCTCGCTGGGGCTCGCCTGAGTCTTCGTCGGTGCGTGTCAACGCGATCACGATGAAACGCGCCGTAGCGGCAGGAGCTGACGTGTACGCGGTCGACATTCGGGAAGCCGAGGCAGCAGACAAGGGAGGGGATTTGCAGAAACTGCTGGCCAACGTACCGAGTGACCTGGCAGCACTGTTGAAGCAGTACAGCGACATTTTCCCGGACGACTTACTGACGGGACTGCCACCTCAGCGACCGCACGACCACAGGATAGAGTTAGAACCGGGGGCACAGCCAACAGTACAGCGACAGTTCCGACTGACCCAGCCCGAACTGGACGAACTGAGGAAGCAGCTCGATTACCTGCTCGAGAAGGAATTCATTCGCCCTAGTTCGTCGCCGTTCGCAGCACCGATACTGTTCACACCGAAAAAAGACGGGGGATTTCGCATGTGCATAGACTACCGAGCACTGAACAGGGTTACCATCAAATCCCGTTACCCCATCCCGCGAGCCGACGAACTGATCGACCAACTGCGCACAGCCCGGATTTTCTCGAAAATCGACCTCCGAGGGGGCTACCACCAGATTCGCGTCAATCCGCCCGACTGCCCTAAGACCGCATTTCGCACCCGCTACGGATCCTTCGAATACACCGTCATGCCTTTCGGACTGACCAACGCCCCCGCCACTTTTCAAATGACCATGAACGAAGCTTTCCGCCCGCTCTTAGATAAGTGTGTCATAGTATACCTGGACGACATACTGATTTACAGCCCTGACAGAGCACAGCACTTACAGGACATCGAAGCAGTTTTTAAAATACTGAGTGACAACCGCCTACTGACAAAAGCGTCTAAGTGTGAATTTTTACAGGACCGCCTGTAATTTTTGGGACACGTTATTTGAGCCGCAGGAGTGGAAATAGACCCGAAGAAAATTGCGACGATTCAAGCGTGGCACGCGCCGACCAACTTGACCGAGTTGCAGAGTTTTCTGGGTTTCGTCAACTACGTGCGCCGGTTCGTCCTCGACATGGCGAAGCTGACTGCCCCGTTGACTGACCTGCTGAGGAAGGGGGTTGAGTACACGTGGGGGAAGAAAGAGCAAGCTGCCTTCTCGGCCCTCAAAAACATTTTGTGCTCACCACCCGTGCTTCACATCGCAGATCCACACCGTCCGTTCGAGCTCGTCACTGACGCAAGTGACATCGCTGTGGGAGCAGTACTGTTGCAGGATTTCGGGAACGGCCTCCAGCCAATCGCGTACGAGTCCCGCAAACTGCACCCGCCCGAACGCAACTACCCGATACACGACCGCGAAATGTTGGCGATCGTGCACGCGTTCAAAGTTTGGCGGTGTTACCTGACTGGCGCCGACGTGACAGTACGGACAGACCACCGATCACTACAATACTTACGCGCCCAACCAAATCTCAATCCGCGACAGATTCGCTGGTTGGACTACCTCGAGTCCAACTTCCACTACACGGTTACGTACAAGAAAGGCGCATCCAACATCGCCGACGCACTCACCCGCCCTACCGCCCAACTCTACGCCATTCTACTCGCCCAGACCAACCCGCTTTTAACAGGCCTATTCACCCACGGATACCGCACCGACCCATTTTTCACGACTGGAAACTTACAGCAGCTGGCAGAAGCTAAAGGAGTTTATTACGTAAAAACAGGCACCAACCGCATCTGGGTACCCGCGTACTCACTACTGAGGGAGCTGCTACTGCAGGAGGCACACGACGGGATTACCTCGGGACATTTTGGGGTAGAAAAAACGCGACAGC